CTTGTGTCCTGGCAGTGCCTTTTCCTCCTGCGTGATGTAGGTCCTGTTTGGCATTTTCTTCCAAAACAGGCCTGTTTCATCACAATTGAACACTTGTTGGGGTTTTAATTGTTCAGCATTTACATAGTCCTTGAACTCCCGTACATACTTTTCAGCCGCTTTTCTGTCAGAACTTACAGCTTCTCCATGCCTTATAACACTGTGTATGCCACTACCCTTCTTAAATCTCTCAAACCACCCTTTGCTGGCCCTAAATTCACTACGAGCAGCACTTGTTCCAGGAGTTTTCTGTAGAAGATCCTCATGTAACTGCTTTGCCTTCTCACAAATAATAGATTCCATTACACTGTCTCCCACTAATTGTTTTTCCATAATCCACAATAACGACGACTTTTCCATCTCTTCCATATTATTGGTGACCTTTGTTTCGTTAGAAAAGTTACTCCTTTTGCAACATTAGTGTCCTTGATATGTTCTTTCTTTGCCAGGATGGATGCTATTGTCGATTTGTTTTTCCTGTACATCATGGCAAGTTCCAGCACCCGCATACCCCTCTCGTGTTTATCAACCACTTCACGCTTAAATTCCATGGTGTTTCTCACTTTCTTTACCACAGGAACTTTACTAGGAACTTTCTTTGGAGCCATGGTTACTTATTTTGCAGTTGCACTGCAAAAATCAATGGAAAACAAGCAAAATGTTTGGATGTGTGAGCAGAAGCTTCCTCGCGCACCAAGAGACACAGCCAAACTGATGTGCAAGTGGCCCCAGCTGGCGGACGGACATGTCCGAAACGGCCGATCACTGAAATAATGGCCGAACGCCAGGAGCCAAAAAACCAGCCGATGACCGAGTTGGCCAATAACCAAGGGTCCACTGTAATATAGTAGGGCCCCACTTAAATGGCAGGTTAGGTTCCGGACTACTGCTGGAAAGCAGAATGCCATTTTTTCTACTTATAAATGCATACAAATGCCAGATAACAAGTTTACACTAACATGTATATCGCTGGCTGGCACTATAGTCTTTATCGACTCGTGTTGCAATAACCTTATCATTCTGAGGTGTTGTCTTGTGTTTTCTTCCACATCTTCCTCAACGCAGCACTCTACAATCACCAGTGTTGTCAGTTCTCTTCAGAATCCAGCCAACAGTTTACTTTGCTAGGCTCAAATTTTCTTCAATCTCTCTGATGCTCAAATCAGCATGTTTTCTAAGAGCTACAATACTTGCACACTTCCTAGGTGTAACATCCATCATGAGTTTCAGCAGTATTCACGAACTGAAGGGGAAAATTTGGTGAAACCACATTCACTCGTGGAGCATGCTTGCAGGAATCGCTCTACAGAACGAAAGCTGTTGTAGCACCGATGAGAGTCGCAGGGTAACACCACAGCTGGATGGTTGCCAGAAGTCGGTAGCAAACAAATCCTCAGGCCCTGATGAACTGTATGCAAGGGTTCTAAAGGAATGTAAAGAGGAGCTTAGCATAACTCTGGCTAATCTTTTCAATACAGACTGGCATGGTGCCAGATAAGTGGAAAATGGCAAATGTGATACCTATTTTCAATGCAGGTGACAGGTCCTTAGCTTCGAACTATAGACCAATAAGCCTAACCTCCATAGTGGGAAAATTTATGGAATCAATAATTGCCGAGGCAGTTCGTAGCCACCTTGAAAAGTACAAATTGATCAACGAATCTCAGCATGGTTTTACAAAGGAGCGTTCCTGCCTTACGAATTTATTAACCTTCTTCGCTAAGGTATTTGAGGAGGTAGATCATGGTAATGAATATGATATTGTGTATATGGACTTCAGTAAGGCTTTTGAAAGGGTCCCACATCAAAGACTACTGAGGAAAATTAAGGCACATGGAATAGGAGGAGAAATTTTTCCTGGATAGAGGCATGGTTGACAAATAGGCAGCAGAGGGTTTGCATAAATGGGGAGAAATCAGAGTGGGAAAGCGTCACGAGCGGTGTTCCACAGGAGTCAGTGTTGGGCCCCCTGTTGTTCACAATCTACATAAACTACATTGAGGAGGGCATAAAGAGCGACATAATATAGTTTGCCGATGACACCAAAATAGGCCGTCGAATTCATTTTGACGAGGACATCAGAGCACTCCAGGAAGATTTGAATAGATTGATGCAGTGGTCGGAGAAGTGGCAGATGCAGTTTAATATAGACAAATGCAAAGTTCTAAATGTTGGACAGGAAAATAACCATGCCACATATAAACTAAATAATGTAGATCTTAATATTACGGATTGCGAAAAAGATTTAGAAGTTCTGGTTAGCAGTAATCTGAAACCAAGACAACAGTGCATAAGTGTTCACAATAAAGCTAACAAAATCCTTGGATTCATATCAAGACGCATAAATAATAGGAGTCCTCAGGTTGTTCTTCAACTCTATATATCCTTGGTTGTGTTGAGGTCAAAAATATTAGTATTAGTCTTATTTGAAGTCACAAAAAATTGTGTGTAGAGGTCCTCCATCACAAATCCGGCATCATTGGGACCTGTAGTGTGCCGGATTACTGAGTTTGCCAGATTACAGAGTGGTTAGGTTAGAATACACTTAATAAAATTAACCAACTTGACTTACACATAGTTCATTGAACATCGGAAAAAATTGAACATTTCCGCTACCTTGAGCTCAATTTCAAGGCACTTTTCGTCATGAAAGCAATCAAAATCATGTCTATTTCTGTAATATATCTTCCATTCTATCAAATGAGTCCAAAAAAATGAGAATACAACCATAAAAACCGTATGAAAATATACTGCAAAGAGGTGGCTAATGGCTGAGAGGTGAACTCCCTTATTTATCGTCCTTTTTTTATTTTTGTTGTACGTTAAGAAGCATCTTTCCATCATATATTGCCCAAGTTTCAATGAGATTGCCTAACAAACAACCGAGAAAAAAAAATATT